AACAAGGAAGGAGATACCAGACAGTCAGTAGCAAAAAGGAGGTAGGGAGTTTGAGTCCAACAAGTCAAAAAAAGAAAAAGGAAAAAGAAAAAGAAAAAGAAAAGGAAGGAGAACGGGAAAAAATATAGTGGGATCAAATCTCAATAGTCACAAAAAGAAAAACGCTGTAACAGAAGTGCCCACCAAATCCATGACTTTTTCTTGACCGTTTTGATGGGGGGAAAAAAACAAACTTTATTGTGACAACAAGGAAGAGCGAACCAATGGTCACCTGGTATCTGCTCCTATTTTTGAGTTAGAGAGGCTCGCTGTACCTCTCGCCAAATGGCGACATCTTGAATGTGTCGGGACCACTTGCTGGTGCAGTCACATTCAGAACATTGGCGTTTGGTGAGTGCTGCAGTGAGGCCCAAAGTACACATTAGAGAGATGGTTATGTTCTGGAGTAGAGACAAACTACGTAGGAGCTGAGATAATGGACTTTCATTTTGTTCCGTTCATTTTGTTATTTTTTTGTTGCCATTTACTCTTTAGTTGAATAGAGAGTGAGCACGATTTTGTTTTTGATGGGTTTTTAGTACCGAGAGGATTTATTATCATTTATGTTTGATGGAGGGCATAGTAACCTGATTTTGATTTTTAGATGATTGTAAATCCGATTTTTTTTCTTCTAATCTTTAGTTTTCGAATTTAATATTTTGGATTTTTCTATTTGATTTTCTCATGACAGCTAGCTTTAGTTTTTTCAATTCTAATTAATTCAAGAAAACGGACTCATGAACGAATTCAAAATTTTCCGAATCATTCTCGATTTGATCCTATCATGTTGATGATCGTAAATCAAAGTTTCGCCTCTGATCTCGAATAATGTTTTCTATTTTTTTAGATTCTCAACGAACTCGTGAAGAATAATCCACAAACCTGATTCAAGACAGTGGGATCATGAATGATCTCCAAAATTTCTGAATAACTCTTTATTTGTTCTTTTCATATTGACGATCGTAAATCAGAGCCTAGTCTCTGATCTTGAATAGTGATCTCTAACTTTTTAGAATTTCAGTGGTCTCGTGAATTTGTCGAATCTTGTTTTTCCTGATGTTTATACTAGCCTAAGAACGGTATTCTAGTGTTTTGTTCTTGCACTGGTCGTTGTGATACACTCCTATTTGAGAGGGGTTACTAGTGGGCGGGAGGTGACGCGTCCTGCTGGCGAGGGGGTTAGTCGGTAGGACTGAAATAGGGCATAGCAACAACGAAGATGGTGGCTCCGCTGTGATAAGTCTTGCCGGAGGGGGGTCAGGGGGAGTGTTCAGGTGGTTTGGGGTTGTTGAGGACAACCGGTGCATGGAGGAAGTCGGGCATTCCGAAGCCTTAGTTGTCGCGGTGTGTTCAACAGATTATCGGACGGTGGGTTATCGCCATTATGTCCATAAGGTTAGGGTTGGCCGATGCCAGAACGACGCTGGTCGGAGCTGGGTTTTGGTTGCGCTGCCCTGTAACCAGAGTATGCGGGGGTTAGAGGCCTGGTAGAGAGATCTGGGGAACTACCGAGGGTGGAAGGCACTCCAGTGGCTAACCACGAGCTGGTATTAGGACGACGCGGGTCGGAGCTGGGTTGGGTCGCGCCGCCCTGTAACCCAGCGGTTGGGGGCGTGAGGCTTGGAAGAGCCTGGTGTCTTGGATATGTGGGTCGAGGCAGCCGTAGGATAGTCGGTTGATAGCATTGGGGCAACAGGTTTTTGTTTATATCGGCTTCCAGATAATCCCAACGGGTTTTCATTTTTCATGAGTAAGTTTGATTTGTTTTCGGGTGGTCGTGAGATCGCTTCAGGATTCTGGGGGCTTCTTGCCACTCACTGTAGGCTTCTTTGATGCAGTTATATTCATAGATATGTGGTGGTTCGATGACAGAACGTTGCTGGCTGGTATTGGAAGTAGAGGGTGGGATATCAAGCGTCCTACTAGTGAGGCGGCTTGCTGGTGGGATGGAAATAGGGTACAGCAGCAGCGGAGATGGTGGCTCTACTGCGGTAAGTCTTGCTGGAGTGAGGTAAGAGGATGGATGGGGGTTTCTGGGCCGTTCTCTGAACTTTTGCTTACGTGAGTGGGAGAAGTAGATGGTGGGATAACAAGCGTCCTACTAGTGAGGGGGCTTGCTGGTAGGATGGAAATAGGGTACAGCAGCAGCGGAGATGGTGGCTCTGCTGCAGTAAGTCTTGCCGGAGTAAGGTAAAGAGGATGGATGGGGTTGTCTGAGGCGTTTCCTGAAGTCTTGCCTATTTTCTGAATTTCGCCATAGTAATTCTTAGTCTGGCTTCAATTTTTTCTTCGTCAAAGCCGGGTAATGGCCCCGGTACCCCAAACCTTCAAAGTTGTCTTTCAGTTGCTTCTGGTGGTCTCAAGATGCTGTTATATTCATAAATCTGCGGCCAGAACGACGCTGGTTGGTGTTGGAAGTAGATGGCGGGATATCAAGCGTTCTACCAGTGAAGGGGCTAGCTGGTAGGATGGAAATAGGGTATAGCAGCAGCAGAGATGGTGGCTCTGCTGCAGCAAGTCTTGCCGGAGTGAGGTAAAGGATGGATGGGGGGTTCTGAGACGTTTCCTGAAACTTTGCCTAGGTGAGTGGGAGAAGAAGGTTGGATATCAAGCGTCCTACTAGTGAGGGGGCCAGCTGGTAGGATGGTAAGAGGGTACAGCAGCAGCAAATATGGTGGCTCTGCTGCAGTAAGACTTGCCGGAGTGAGGTAATGAGGATGGAGGGGGGTCTGAGTCTGTTCCTGAATTTTTGCCTATTTTCGGTAGCTTGTTTGTATCTCTTAATCTAGCTCTTAGCCAAAGCCGAGTCGTGGCCCCGGTAGTGCAAATTCTCAATTTTTTCCAGATCCTATGTAATTTTCTATATGGGATGCTGGGCCCGGTTCCCAGCACGTGTTGCTCAAAAAAAAAAAAAAAAAAAAAGATGGAGGGCCAAGGCCGAGCTCCTTTTTTTTATATACATACATTGCGTCCTGATGAGTCGGTGAAACTCCGACGAAACAGTTTGTCACAGCCCCGTTTGTTGTCCTCTTCTCCCTCTCTGCCTAAGGTTTACCGGACAACTCTGTTTGACTATGTAAATATGTAAAAGTCCAGGTTGTTGTAGAGGCTGGACTATAGACAGGTGAGAGTCACCTTCAGCACTCGGCCATGTGGTAGAGCCCCCCTAATCCTATGGGACTCCCTCCCAACCTACCACTCCCGTAATTTCTTCCCGGTGCACTCCTACTCCCACTATCCTACCTCAATGTCTACGACTCAGGATCGTCACCCTCCAGTCTGGGGGTGACCTGACCAAACAGTGGTTGCAGGCAGGGCTAAGCTGAGCCCCACACACCCCACTTAGCCCTGATCAAGGCATATTCGAGCGAGCCTCGCAACCCGGGTCCTTCAGAAACTAGGCATAGACGTTTCTCTACAAGTCCGAACTCTTACTACAGGGCTGAGGCTCAGTTCGAGGTTAGTGCAAGCGGCCTCTGGACAACTAGCTAGGCGGGGGCCTACATCAGTCTCTGCCATTGGGGCCTTCAGACAGCAGGGTGCCTGCTCAGCTCACGCTTCTACCTGTCTGTCTATGTCCGAAGGCCTAGCATGAGCAACTGCAACTCCTACTGGCTGTTCCCTTTTGGGTACCGATGCACAGGGCAAAAGGGAGCAATGTGGTTGGGGTCACCACAATGACCACACTTTAAGCACACTGGTTGGCCTCAAGCCGTTCCTTCCATACTTTGTAATCCATGTTCATTTTCTCCCATGGCCTGCCTTCCTCAAGTCCTGGGTGAGCTGGATATGGCCTGCAAACCTCCACCTATTCCCCCACTGAAGGGAGAACCACATCTGCCTTGAGGGGAACCATTACCCCTACATCCCGCGTAATAGCGTCCTTCGCCACTTCTCACTTGGGCGCCAGGTCCTTTACATCTACCTCCACCTCTACCTCGGCCTCCTCTTCTTCCTTGTCGCCCTCCCCTACGGGCTGCAGCGCCTGCGTAGTCCCCTCCCTGCGGTACTCAGCTGCTGTTTTGGTCTTCCAGTCCGTAGTGTATGTTCTCGTAGGGTATTGCTTTGACTCACCCTTCCTCAAACGTGACTAGAAAGCTGTCTTTCCTCTCTATGCTTCCGGATATCGTCTTGTTCTTCCACCGACCTCCTTTCTGCAAGTCCTTCTACCTTTATCATTGTTGAGAACAAGTGGTGGTGGTGGTCGTGGAGGAGGAGGAGGGGGAGGAGAAGAAGAAGAAGAAGAAGAAGAAGAAGAAGAAGAAGAAGAAGAAGAAGAAGAAGAAGATGATGATGATGATAATCATCACCATAACAACAATGATAGTAATAGAATAAGTGAAGGTACGAAGATGAAGCGAAGGGACAACACAAGTGGCTAACGGGAACCCCCACTTTTCAGCTCTTGGGTTAACCTGTCCAAAACTGAAATTAGGGTTTGGGGGTCAAATTTTATGTTCTTTTGGTGTCCACTCTTTGAATTGGTGGCAAGTTTGATTAAAGGCCCTAATAAAATAAAATAAAAAAAAGGCCCTTGGGTTTTTCTATAAATAGCGTGACAAATTGTCTGAAAATTTACTAGGTCTCTGCTAACCATCTCTTGATTTCCTTTTACAATTGTTTTGTTCAGTTAGTCTTCCCTCGCATACATCAAGCTGGCAATCATCTATGGGTGTTATTCTCCTTTTATCATCATCACACTCTGTCCGAGTCCGTCCATGAAGAAACTGGGCGCAAAGCCGTGCAATGGTTCTGCTATTTTTCATTATAATCTCTTCATAATCAAAACATTGGGCACTGGACTAGTTTTTTTTCTGAAAAAAATCAATAATGCAAATCATCATTATTGTCAATTATTGATGAAAAAGATGATCAGCGTTCTATGCACAACCATTTCTTCAATTGTGCGCCTCCAGTTCCCTGAGCTTGTGGAGGGGCATGTCGTTGTCTTGGATTTACAGGAGGTTGATAGGTTCCGGAAATGCCAACACATTCTGCGATTCATTCGTGGAGAAGGGTGGGAGCGACATCACTGGGCGCAATTGTTTGTGATAATGGGCTTCCAAATCAAGGTGACATTCTCTTTGTTTAATGGTGGCTTTATAAGGTCATTGTGTTCCCTGCTCTATTTGACTCTTGTTTGTTCTTTCTTGCAAATTCAAACATAAAGACAGAAATGAGGTGGGAGATGTGAACATATAAAAAATCCGGGAAATGTACAATGTGGTCAGGGCTCAGGTTAGGAAGGCCCGTGCCAGCAAAGGAGAAGGTACAATGCAGTCATTTGAAAACACCAAAGGAATTTAAGAGAAAACGAAGCATCATAACTTTTGTTTGTATTAAACCACCAGTACCTTTCACAGGCAAAGGTTTCCAACGTCTTGTATACAACCATAATTTCTGGACGAATAGTGCTACCAGATCAAAATAGTTGGCGGCGCCAAGCAAAGATAACGAAAATGCGCCCGGGTCAGTTTGATGCATACTTGCAACCGCACTGTACGCCGCCGTGCGGCGCGACAGCTGCTCGTATGCCGTACCAGCAGCAGTTTCCTTTTTTTTTGTGTTGCTGTTTTGTAGATACAGAAGTGTTATGAAGGGAACCTGTCTCCAGGGGAGCAGTGGCTGAGGCTCTTCCAGCCCTAATGGGAAGAGGCGTGTGTATTAGTGTTGTAATCATTGCTATAATTGAAGCCTTGGGAACTGGGCCCTTTAAAAAAAAGAAAAGAAAAAAAAAAGAGAAAAAAAAAAGAGTTGACCACCTAAGGAACACTGTCAGATCTTTTTCAAGTGCAGTCGACGTACAGATTTTTCTTTCCGTCCAATCGGGCATGAGAAATAGCCTCAAATAGGTGTCTGGGACATCAGTCTTCTTCTTTTTTTTTTAATCCATCCCGAGTGGATGCTAGGGGTGCTGGTAAGAGCAGGCACCATTAGCACTCCCGGGGAGGGTCCGTCTATGGGTGGGGAGCAACATCTGCTGGAAAGGGGGTCCAGCGTCCCTGAACATTGTAGTTGTGTGTTTGATCAGACATGTAGTTGTGATGGCAGCCAGCTGCAGGGCTCACCTACCAGGACTAGAATTTGGCAGGTAGCACTAAACAATAGCCTGATTTGCGTGCCTACATGACAGCCTATGTTAAGCCAAAATTAAGTGATAGCATTAGTATGCATGGATCTCACGGCTGCCGCTAGGGGAACTGGGACCAGATTCTGACCGATTGTAAGTAGTGTTCTGCTTCCCCCCTTCCTTTCAGCAATCAGTCCCTTGCTGATGAAGATGTTTGTTTGAACAGACTTGTAGTGTTCACTCCCTTTTGGTTCCCCGGGCCGTAACTTTATCTTACGATCTCTGGAGCTCTCTCTTTTCCGTAAGGCTGCAGGTGGTACCCTTTCTATCTTAGAGCTCCCATTTTCCCCTGGCCCAGCCCTTATTCCTGGAGTAGCTCAGTACCATTTCCTGTCCCGTATCTCTTTGTTCTCCTTCAGTTCAGTCTAATTCCAGGTGTCTGCAACCCTTCCCTTTGGTTATGGACGGTTCACCCCCAGGGGAGCCTTATGTCGACAAAGGCCGAAATTTGAGGGAGACAGCGGTTTTGAACAACATACCTTGAGTTGGCTGCGGTCGTACCTCAAGCCTGCTGCTCACCCTACCCCGCTAGCATACTTTCTGGAAGTTCTCTTTTTTCCTGTGCATACATTCTGAAGACTAAAGTTCCACTTCCCATTCCCTGGCTATGAACGAGAGCAGAGTTTGGAAGACCATGAATGACGACTCACAGACAGATTTGCGACCCCCAGTCTTGTTTCGGGCGTTGATTGCTTCCCTTTCTGGGGGAGGCTTGACCTCCTGCCTCAGGGCAGTCCTCTGCCTGTATCGAGATATAGGTGGAGTAGGCTGTGTGTTTGTTTCCTTCCCGCGCGGCGATGACCATTTCTCACTAAGCCGGAACCACGCGGGGGACTTCAGTTCCGTCTGTTTCCCCACGCTCAATTTGCCAAAAATCCTTGGCACACCCCATTTTTGCTGTCTTTCAGGGCCTATTCCGCACAACTTATCACTCCGACCGGAAGACAGTGCAGGGCGTGAGGTTGAACATTACCAATGGGAGTGAGCAGATGGGGGACTGGGCCTCGTAGGTCCACCATCCGCCTGTGTCGTCTCCCACCACCCTCACCCAAACGAGAGCAGCCCAAGACTGGTCTTTGTCCAACTCCTCATTTCTAGTTAGTTTTGACAGTCTATCTCTGGGAAGAGCTGGTTCATATGCTTCTAGTGCCACCGGAAGACCCATAATTCGTTTTTTTTAATTTCTTTTTCTTTGAGGGGGTGGTGTTCGGGTTGTGCAACCCCAATCAGCCCCCAAACCCTCCCTTCCCCCCACACACTGGCCGCCACACGGCCGCAAAGTCGCGTGGCTGCATGGTCATGGCCGCCTCCGGGGGGGATTCGTAGCCTCCGGTGTGATGCCTAACCTCACGCCCGGTGCGACTTCCTGATCGGAGTGAGAGTGGGCCTGGAAGTGCGACAAGGGGGTGTGCCAAGGATTTTACTAAAGTGGGGGTGGAGTCCCAGGTCGGAACTGAGATCTCCTGTGACAAGTTTCAGGGATACGAATGCAAGAGGGTAGGCGCGGGTCGGAGTCCTGTTTACGCTTCAGAGAGCGGAGCTACCGCCTTCGTTGGTTTCGTTGTCTGGGTCGGACTCGTATCTGGTGCACCGCCAGGACGCTATGGCTATCACCTGCCGACGGCTAACGTCGCAGGTCTCGGAATCCGACGTGGCTGACCTCAGTCAAAGGCTGTGCGCCCATCGTTCTTCCTCTGAGCGAGTTCGCCGGATGAAGCCGGAGGCTCGGTAATCATGCTCTTGCAAACACTCAGAGCACGGGGGTTGGGGCTAGTAGGGAGCGATTGCGAGCCAGGGGACGATGGTGAGGGAGTGAAAGGGCAGGATGCGGTGATAGGGAGGGAATTCGGTCCCCAAGACAATGATTCCGGGTTTCGCGATGACGTGACACGTGTATGAGTTAGGGACGCCGGGAGGATGGGGGATACGTCCCAAGGCCTGGTCAATATTCCACTCGTAAATACGTTTGTTCCCCATTAAGTAGGGAAACTCTAGAGGTTCTGCCCTTGATAGTGTAGACAAACATGCGTGCTCCCAATACTCCCGGAATTCACGATCCCTCAGACACTCACGGTTAGTAATACGAAAAGAGATTTCGATATTCATACTGCAGGGTGGGGTGAAAATTCAGACATTCAGGGAGCCTGGCCGAGTACAGATCTTGCAGACACGCGTGTAAGTGACGACCCTCTTCGGTCGGGCTTACATGTGCGTGCACAAGGTCTGTCCGTCGACCAGGTGGGTAAAGATTGCAACTCACAACCTGTACACACTTGGACTTTTAACCTGAAGGTAGTTGGTCCTATTGTGAGACAAACATCTGATCATCTAGCATGCTCATCTAGTTTCATACTCAGACAGAAAAACACCAAACATCCATGCATCCAGCTTCGAACACACACACACCAAAAAGGAGTTGACAATCATTTGTGGATCAATTCTTCAGCCATTGGCGAGGGATCATACAAAATTCGTATGTGACCAACCAATCAGATTGTCGATTCATGCGGAAAGATGAGGGAAGTGGGGGAGACAATCACACATCAATCCTTAGGCAAGAAACAAAGAAAAAGCCTAAGATGCCGATCCAAAAAGGACAACGGCGACTTGTGCCAGATACCAAAATTGCTTAGAGGAATAGAAGAGAAGCACCATCACAACATGTCCCGTCTCTCCTTCTCTCTTTCTCTTCACAACACCCCGAGGCGGGCAGTACGTCGCCACGCACTCCACACAGAGTTGTCACCCCGCTTATCCTGAACATGCAAGCCAGGTTTGCTCGTGTGCCACCGTTCGTCGCGACCCAGCGTCAACCCCGCATGTCCAGCACCAGCCTGTCGGATCGCCCAACTCTCTGCTTACCTTCCGACTCCTACTCGTTAGCCGATCCTCTCGACCGCGTTAACTCCAAAATTCATAGAGCGCGAGCTAGTCATGCTTGCAAAATTTATAGCATGTGCATTTGCACGAGATACTTGGGATTGTGCCTAAGTGGGAAGGAGGGAGGAGGAAGGAAGTGCCTACGAGTTCATGGCCAGGCCGTGGCGTGGGGGACGTAGCCACACTCCACACATCGATATGGTCATGTAAAAGTTCAGGTCAATAGGAAAGGGGGATAAATATGAGTGCGTAAGGGCGCCACAAAAGATATCAAGAACGAGAGGATTACAATTACAATCACGCCCGCCAAAACAAGAATTAAGGCGTGGAAAAGTCAGAGCACATATCCTAACGCGGCAAAGCATGCGCAAGCAAGAAGCGTCGTGCAACAAAGTTGCGATGTACGTTCATGTACCCAAATTCCTAGCCTAAATCCTAATTACAAAAAAAAATTCTGAGAGAAGAAAATTCCGGGAGCCCACGGGGGCTCGACATCAGTTGAAAATTCAAAACGATTTTCCCGCGCGATGATCGCGCCAAATTTCCCATTTCCCACAACATAACAAGAAAGAAGCTATGACAACAGTTATCTTCCGTGGTCGCTAAGGCCCCGAAGTAGCGTTGTGCAGAAAGTCGCGCGGTTGCCGAAAACAGTTTGTCACATATGTGACGCCCAGGGGGTTCCAATCTTGAGCAAGCTCCTGCTTGCTCGTTCATCATCCGCCGATCCCACAGGGTATGCCGACGATCGACATGGAGTTTACACATGCCACTTATCGTGAGATAAGAGTGTGGAAGTCATCCAGGTGGCATTCGTGAGCTACGAACCTAGAGGTTGTCGGGGAAGGGTAACCTTATGACGGGCGGAGGAAGAGGAGGGTGAGCTTGTGGGAGGGGTGGCAAAAATCGACGAAGTTCTCGATCTCCAGTGGCGAGTCGTGTGTAGTGGACGGTGCGGTGGATGCGAGGGAATTGGTGGGGGAGCGAGGCGAGGTAATCAGGGTAGAGAGTATAGAGGGTGCGGGGGATCGTGGCGCGGAAATTCTCATGATCTTTGCACGCGGGGATGTTGCCTGCGATTATGCAATAGAATTCTATATTATTATATTCACGCCAGGCCACGCTGAAGAGAAGAACGTTGAGGGGAAAGGAGGTTACAAGGGATCGGGTGGTGGCATGCAGAAAGATGGTAGCGATGAGGCGGGTGGAATAGAGTTGGTGGAAGAGGGAAGGCGGGAAGGGGTGCCCGTCGAGAGAAAATGGGGGACGGCCTGCAAGCTGGTGAAGGGTAAGGTAATCAAGGGGACGACGGTATAAAGACCAGGGACGAAACCCGAGCGCCCTCATCTGCACGTAGGCAAAGGGTGGGCCATGGCAGAGGGGATTGAGTCGGCGAAGGACTTCTTCGTCAACGCCTGCTGCGTGATCCCTCTGCGGTGACACCATCTCTCACCGGTTCCTCATGCGGCGGCTCGGGGTTGGGAGCTGGATCACCCGGTAACAGGCTAACAGCCATGTCGCTGGTCCGTGCGATTGCTTGATCGGCCGCTTTCTTTCTGCCTTCTCGCGCCTCTTCTGCTTTGCGGCTCTGTCTTCTTCCTCGCTTCGTTCGCTGGAGCTGCTCGACTCCTCTGATTCCATTGCTCCCGACTCGCTCTCCTCTGTCCCGTTGTAATCGGGATCGTCAGATCCCGTCCCCGAGTTCTCCTCTTCTTCTTCTTCTTCTTCTTCTTCTTCTTCCTCTTCACTCGCCTCCTCTCTCTCTTCTTCGTCTACCTCCTCTCTCTCCTCTCCTCTCCGAGTGATCGGATTCCAAAGGGCGAGATCGGTCACGTCGATGACCAGGTAGTGGCCCGAGGAGGGGTGGTAGCAGTTGTCCCCGTTAATCTCCGTGCACGTGGACCACGACAGATGCGACGCAAACGTACGGGTGAGCGCGACTGATGTGGGCCGCTCGTCGCAGCGTGAAAGGACGTCCAGAGGCAGGTCGTCCAAGAGCTGCGCCAGGAATACCAGGTCTTCATTCGTGATCGGCTCCAGATGGACGTCCCTCACCTCTCCGAACAGGATCCCCAACAACTCCCCCTCTGTATCCATTCTCCACGCTTGGACTATCAACAACTTCACCTCGTTGTCGGGGACTTCGTCTTCTTCGTCCTTGTTGGCCGGCTCGGCCCAATGGAACACCACCTCGAGAAGACAGAAACTGAGCACGATGTACGCATTCCACCACACTGACTCCCTCCACTTGTCGGCTTCAAGGATCGACACATTTAGCTGCCTGATCGACTTCAAGTATCGGCACATCTAGCTGCCTGACCCGAAAGGATAGAGGGGCGTCAGTAGCGGACTGCCAGAAGGTGGGGAGGTCGGAGGGAAGCCCGAAACTCGAGAGGTGATGCCGATTCATTGGGGCGGCGCAAAGGGAAGGAACTCCGGGATGAAAACCTCCGACGCAGCAAGACAAAGTCAGAATTGGCTAAGATCGACGTCGTTAGTGGAGACGATCCGATCGTCGGGCTGAGCTAACAGTTGGATCCACGCGGCCATGAGATCCCGCGCCCAGAGTCGCAACTGTTGGAGGACACCTGCGTGGGACGCTTCATGCAACGTCGTAAGATCGTCGATAAAGGCGACGATTACTGACATGTGGTTGACGACTGGTGGAGACAGTCGTAGAAAAGTCGATGCCTCGGCCAACACTCACACTCTGTCGCTGACCCGTACAAACCGAAACTCTGCTGCCGTGTGGATGGCCGCCGTGCTGAAGAAAGTCGTGAATCGAAGCAGATCGGGACTCAATCGTGGTTGCTGCACCTGCCGGATAGACGAGATATGCCCCCCAGGTCTCATTAGACGCTCACTAATGATTTGCTCTGTGGAAAAACTCATGGCGATGGGGAAGAAGGTGGAGACGAGGGTTGGAAAGAAGGAAAAGCAGTGTATTCGAAATCGTTGTCTTCCTCCTCAGAAGTGGAGGACGATGTAGACGATGAGAAAGACGAAGAAGAGGGTAAGGGACAGAGATAGGATACATGTCGGATGATCCGTCGAGCCGATCAGCTTCCCGAGACCTCTGATGCAAGCCGCACCGTGTTCACTCCGCTAGGACCGAGTTCGACTACGCGGAATCGCCCGAAGAATCGTGGCGCTAAGTTGCCTTGGCGAGCACATTTCCTTACCTGCACTATGTCCCCGAATTTATACTGGGACCAAGGTCCAGCGTTCCCGTTTCGGGCCTCATAGCTCCGGACCTGACGTTCGTGGGCCATTTCGGTCATTCGTTGTCTTTTCCGGGCTAACCGAGGAAGGGCCTTTTCGATCAGTTTCAATTGGAGTTGAGCCTTATCCTTAACCATCGCCCGAGGGTCGTTCGTCTTCAGGCTCGGCAAAGCTACGCAAGCCTAGCTATTTGTCCGTAACCGGAAAGGGGTCAGGCCGGTGGACTCATGGGGTGTCCCCCGATGAATGGCTAGGATGTGTTCCACTATATCGGGCCAAGGCCTCGTATCTCTAGCGGCAATATTCTGTCGGATGGGGTCTTGATTACTCGGTTGGCGTTTTCTACGAGGCCATTTGATAATTTGATTGGGACATATGTGGGGCGGTGTTCCGAATAGAAACACCATGGCATGATGCGTGACCAGACTCCTCAGGACTTCCCCTCGGAATTCGGGCCCATCGTCCATTAGGATTTCCTCGGTACCCTGATGCATTCCGAGAAAACATTTGACATATCGCACAGATTCACACTATTTCCGCCGTCTGTCGCGTCTTACAGGGATGCGCCTCTATCCATTTGGAAAAATGGTCCACAAAAACAAGGACTGAATATTCGCAACTATTCGGGCCAGGGGGAACGATAATGTCCGTCGTGTCCATACCGACTTTTTGGAATGGTCATTCAACTACCGTTAGGACAATGGACTAGGGAGGCTGAATCAGCGCTTTATCCACTGCGCAGACCGAACAATATTTGACGATGAATTTAACATCGTCCCTGATATTCGAACAGCACCATTCGTTCTTGTCAATAGCCGACTCTGTAATCTTGACAGCAAAGTGGGTGGCGGTTTCCTTGTGAGTTTACTTAAACGAGTCGTATCTCATAAACGGATGAGGCAGTGACATCCAAATCCCACTACCGCCAGTATTTCGTTTCTCTGACTGTTCGTTCCTCCATCGGTAATCCCGTGCCCTCTCATTGGCCCACCTCCGATCTTCCTTGGTGAATTCTTGCAGGGAGTTTCCGACTACCGTAGCCATTAGAACGACATTTGTCCATACCTCGACATGCTGAAACCGACATATCTTTTCTAGGCCTTCGGACGTGGCTTCGAGGAATCGAGCCTCCGTCGGGATCTTGTTGGTACGTCACAAAGGACATATCCAAGCTTCCGTTCCTATATTGGACACAAGAGTCATGACCCCTAGAGACACATCGCTCACAGTTTACCCAATCAACATATCCTTCCCCACTGGAACGCATCGGGACTGAATAAACACGTGATATTGTTTCGCAAAAATAGCAGAACTTGTCGGGCAGAGACAAAGAAGAAGAAGATGAGAGGGGAGAAAGGGCCCCCCTGGAATTACCTTCTCCACCCGTCGCCATTGGGTCCACGTGTCACTTGTTGGAGGTTCGGGGGGGCCACCTCTCCGTACGACGGTCCCTTGGTCGGCTCCGGCTCCTTCCACAGAGTGATCTCTTCCCCTTTGGCCGCCTTGCTTGGCCGATGAAGTCGTGTCAGTCCGTCGGCATTTTCGTGCTTCTCTGTCTTTCGATGAACCTACGTTGCGACTTGTACTCACCCTCGTACGAGTACAAGTTGTACTCATTTCTCGTACGCTACTTGTGCTCTAGGGCCCATACGACTTTTTTTTTTTTTAATGGTTCCCCCCCCCCCTCAAATTCTAATAAGAATCTGCAGATAGTGCTCAGCCAAATGTTGCTTGTTTTGTGATGTTGCAACACATATTTGTTTTTTGGAGTTTTTTAATGACTTTTTTTTTTTTTTTTTTTTTTTTTTTTTTTTTTTTTCCCGTATAGAGGCGTACGGGGACGTACAGGTTCGTGTACAGATATTACCTGTACGTTTTGTACGGAAAGGCCCCATACATGTACGTTCGGTAACGTAGCGATGGACGATGTCGAAGTCATATTCATGTAGTCGGACAACCCATAGTCCAATCATGCCCGTATAGTTAGTGAGTTTCTTAAGAGCCAACCGGGGTTCATAATCCTTAATGAGGAGGAACTTCTGCCCATACAGATACAGATGAAAATGTTGAATTCCCCAAACGACCGTGTAGCATTCCCTCTGAGGGGCCAAGTCATTTCGTCGTTCATCGGGTACCGTTCGCGAGGCGTACTCGATGACGTGTTCACGACCGTCCTTCCCCTTCTGAGCCAAAATAGCGGAGATTGCCTCGTGCTGCCAGTTCGTGATGAGTATGAATTGTTTCCTAGGATCGGGCCGAATCAAAATACGCGTGGAGACCGGGGCCTCCTTCAAGGTGACAAAGGGTTGTTCACAGTGCTTCACACTCCACATCCCACTTCAGTGGCTGGTCCTTTCGTAGGAGGTTTGTTAGAGGCCGAACGATTGCCGCAAACCCCTTGATAAACGAGGCTAGTCCCAAAAAGGCTCGAACCTGCATCAGTGACTTAGGTGTGGGTGCGCTTTGGACCGCCTCAACCTTTCTTGAATCTGGTCTCAAACCCCCTCGGGTCACCACGTACCCTAGGAACGAGATCTTTGAGAGGAAGAACTCGCTTTTCTCAAGCGCGATCTTGAATCCAGCATCCCGTAATGCCCCAAGTGCCCATTTGATGTGCTCTGCGTGTTCGTGAAATGATTCAGAATACACCAGGATATCGTCCATGTACACAATGACGCAAAAATTAATCATCCCCTGGTCTTGTTGACAAAATTCTGGAATGTGACGTTCATTGCTCTGTGGAAAGTAGCTGGTGCATTGCATATTCCCATAAGACAACGAATCCACTGTCATTGCCTCAAACAATATGAATGTCGTTTTCGGCTGATCCTCCTCCTTAACCAGGATATGATGAAACCTGTGGCAAATATCAAACTTACTTCAATAATTAACATGCCCAATTGCATCTAACAAATCATCAATCCGCGTAAGGGAGTACACATCTTTGATTGTGATGTCATTCAATTTCCTATATGCATATGCGGATCAACCCATTTTTCTTCGGAACTAGAACTACGAGAAATGACCAAGGTCTGGTAGTTGGCTCGATCCAACCGTTAGCTTCAAATTCTCTGATTCGTTCCAATGCGGCTTTTCGTTCTGTGAGAGAGTACCGGTACGGTTTGCAATGAATAGGCGGATGTGTTTCGGTTCGAATTTCGTGTTGGATTACTACGGACAGTCCGATGTCTGTGTCTTTGACGCTAATCGCTCCTTGATACTCAGACAGAATGTCGGCAACAAGGCGATGAATTTCATCAGGCACGTATCGAGGCATGTGTAGCTCGAAGAGTTGTTCATGGATGTTAACTATTACTTGTTTTGTGCCCATCTTCGTACCGTTTTTGGGTGGGGGAGACGAAATGAATGATTTGTCCGATCGCCAGGAAAACACTGTGGCAACCATTTGGGCGTCTTCCTCCCGGATTGCCACGTGTTCTTCCGACGTTATGCCATCGTCGATGTCCCGCGAGCTTACGGGTTTTTCGGTAATCTTGATCCCGAGTTCGTAAGGTGAATGGTCGGCATGCCTAGGGGGTTCCAAAGCTTCGCTCTCGGCGCCCCGTCGCAACAATCGAACCTCCTTCCCTGCAAAGAGCAAGGAACGAGGTAGTTCCGTAATATCGCATAAGGTTTTCTTGTCACTGTACCTTGAGAGAAGCGAGGTGGTGGCCTCTTATTATTGTATAGGGTCCGAGGGGTTTCCGAAGAATCGGTCATTCGGAATACTTGCACTACCGGTTCCCCTAGGATTAGAGCCTGTGTCCGTTGGAGGTTTTTTTCTGTAAGGACGAATGTTTTCGTTGCTTTCTACAAGACTGGGTAGCGAGTCAGTTGATGCGACATGTCCCAGATCATTGGGTCCGCTTCGTCCTCACTGTAGAGGAGCCGATCGACAATTCGGGTCTCTTTTCTCTCTGATCTATTTCATTAAGGGGTTTTCTCTAGGTGATCACATGATTCAGAAGCGGTTCCCTGATCTTGGGGGGAGTTCTCTGAGTCGTAGGTAGCGTAGTTCGGAGAGTTAAACGCATCGGGATAACATATAGTTTTCCACCCGTGTTCCGAAGGATGATTGATCACGTGTCGAAATCTAGGTTGGCTCGTGGTGCGGTGAGGGCCGACAATCCCAAGAAAAAGAGGACGTTGTATATGTTTACGTCCAATACTACAACATCCCCCAAGGCGTGAACTTTTCCTAAGTGAAACGCGACATTTATCATCCTTCTCACCACCTTGATCTTTTCTTCGTCAGCAGAGACAAGGTGATCTCCCTCCGCTCACGGGATCAGATCCTTTCTTCTCCCTGCCCGTTCCACAATACTCAGAGAGATGGCTAGAACTGCGGCCCCTGAGTTAATAATAGCATTGTACGAAATTTCCCAGACTTTTATATCGCACTCCACAAATTTCCACGGAATTACCTTAATGCGCAGAAAATTGTCGTCTTTTGGATTAGTCCTAACCGTATCGTATCCAAGGTGCTAGGGTCATCGGGCTTGTCCTCTTGGATGGGGGACTTCCCTTTGATGGTTGCTTGCTTAGCAAGGGCAAACCATTTCCCGTTCGCCTTGCAATGTTGCAACATTCGTTCATTCGCCTGCTCCGACATGGATAACAGGTGTCCAATGGGCAAGGGAATTCGGTGGTCCAGGGCTCGGACAATGTTCAGGACATCAATTTCTCCCGTAACAAAGGCAGGACCACCCGACTCCATTTCTGTGGGAGACAGTCTCCACTCCGTCATTTCACGTTGTTCGTTCACGGGGCGGATGGTTCCGATAATTCCCAAGCCCGGGTATCCTTGTGAGATGTATTGATTGAGCGGGATAAGCTCCGCAACTTCCTCGGTAGTGACCATCGCACTCCCACCTCCATCTATCTCTTCCACCATTGTGCCCACCCTCCCTAGTTCGTTGGCCATAGGTGCCGCTGCCACAAGGGGCTGCTCCCACCCGGACTTGCGTCAGACGGTTGGGGCAGTCTCGGGCTATGTGGCAGGGCTGGTGACACGTGTAACAGATGCCCAGATTAGCCGCCGCACTGCCCACAACTTGGACGGGGGCTGCTCCCTGTGCCATGGGTGCAGCTCGGACGACGATGGGGCGCATCGACCTCATCAAGGATTTTATCTGGGCATTATGCTCGCACTGTTCTTTTTTGCTTTCTTGCATCCGGCTAACTTGCGTTCGAGTTAATTCCAGTATTGCGTTTCATTCGCTTGGCTTCGCAGAGGTATCCAGGGGAGGAGTAGGTTTGACCATCACGGGCAGTCCTGTGATTGTGTCCGTTATCGACACCTCTTAACTCCAACTTGTTCTAGATAGGTGACGGGGCCGGAGACGAAACCCATGTTCTCAAATTTGTTTTGGAGCGCGGCTAACTCGGCCTTCGCTCTGGCCAATTCTAAGAAATCCCCTTCCTTAGCGCGATCTTCTCCTTCTAAGAAGCTAGCGGCAAACTTTCGCTCCATCCCTTCCGCATCGTCCATGATCTGTTGCATGGTGTGATTGATGGGGGATAACTGCTTTTGCAATTTCGCCCTCATTGCACGGCTGCGAAGGCAGCGAAGCCCATCGATAAACAAATCCCTTCCGACCTCCTCGCCTCACTATGACTTAATGAACAACCTATAAAACGTATTGCGATTTTCAGTGACGGATTCGAGGGGCTACTTAGCTCGATCTTTAATCATAAAAAAGGTCTATTCAGGATGGATATAATTGAATCGGTGTAAGAGGTCCCTCTTGAAGGTCGGGAGATTTACCCAAGCGTAAGTGCTGAACCAATGGCGCACATCCCCTCCCAACCGGGCAGGGATGTTGATCCTAGCTTCGCCATTGTCGTATTATTGCTCACACAGCGTGGCTTGCCATGCTCTAGCCAGATGATGCGCGGGATCGAAAAGGTACAGATTGGGTGGGGCCACAGGTGCACGAACTCGAGGGGTCGGAGCTCCGCCAGCATTTGGTGTCGGGTTGGCGTTCATATTGGCCGCCTGCCGACCTGCCGATCTACTCCTAGTTACTATAGGATCGCGTCGTGGCGCGTTCCTCTGCCTAGGCCGTCCTCTGTTCGCCAGATCGCTCAACGCAACTTACTCTCTAATCAGTTCTCGAGCTTGCCACGTGTCGGCTCCGATACCCACCTCACGCCCGACGCGACTTCCTGATCGGAGTGAGAGTGCGCCTGGAAGTGCAAAAAGGGGGTGTGCCAAGGACTTTAGGAAAGTGGGGGTGGAGTCCCAGGTCGGAACTGAGATCTCCTGGACAATTTTTAGGGATACGAATGCAAGAGGGCACGTGCGGGTCGGAGTCCTGTGTACGCTTTGGAGAGCGGAGCTACCACCTTCATTGGTTCAATTGTTTGGGTCAGACTCGTATCTGGCGTATCACCGGGACACTATGGCTATCTCGCTGACTGATCACTTGCCGACGTGTAACGTCGCAGGTCTCGAAATCCGACGTGGCCAGCCTCAGCTTAGGGTTGTGCGCTCGTTGTTCTTCCTCCGAGCCAGTTCGTCGGATGAAGCCGGAGGCTTGGTAATCGTGGTCTTGCAGGCATTCCGAGTACGGGGGTTTGGACCAGTAGGGAGCGATTGCGCGCTAGGGGACAATGGTCAGGGAGTAAACGGGCAGGATGCGGTGATAGGGAGGGAATTCGGTCCCCAGGACAATGATTCCGGGTTTCGGGACGACGTGACACGTGTATGAGCTAGGGCAGCCAGCGAGATGGGGGATACGTCCCAAGGCCTGGTCAATATCCCACTTGGCACTCGCAAATACGTTCGTTCCCTGTTAAGTAGGGAAACTGTGGAGGTTCCGCACTTGATTGTGTAGATAAACACGCGTGCTTCCAATACTCCCAGAATTCACGATCCCTCAGGCACTCGCGGTTAGTAATATGAAAAGGGATTTTTATATTCATACTGCAGGGTGGGGCGGAAATTCAGACATTCGGGGAGCCGGGTTGAGTACAGATCTTGCAGACATGCGTGTAAGTGACGACCCTCTTCGGTCGGGCTTACACGTGCGTGCACAAGGTCTGTCCGTCGGCTAGGTGGGTAAAGATCGACAACTCACAACCTGTACACACTTGGCCTGTTAACCCGAAGGTAGGTGGTCCTATTGTGAGACACAAGTCTGATCATCTAGCATGCTCATCTAGTTTCATGTGCAGACAAAAAAACACCAAACATCCATGCATCCAACTTCGAACACACACACACCAAAAATGAGTTGACAATCATTTGTGCATCAATTCTTCGGTCATTGGCCAGGGATCATACAAAATTCGATCGTAGGTGACCAACCAATCAGATTGCCGCTTCATGCAGAAAGAGGAGGAAAGAGGGGGAGACAGTCACACATCAATCCTCAGGGAAGAAACAAAGAAAAAGCCTGAGATGCCGATCCAAAAAGGACAACGGTGACTTGCGCTAGATACCAAAATTGCTCAGAGGAATAGAAGAGAAGCACCATCACAACACGTCCCGTCTCTCCTTCTCTCTCTCTTCTTCACAACACCCTGAGGCGGGCAGTCCGTCGCCATGCACCCACACAGAGTTGCCACCCCGCTTAGCCTGAACATCCAAGCCAGGTTTGCCCGCGTGCCACAGTTCGCCGCGACCCAACGTCAATCCCGCATGTCCAGCACCAGCCCGTCGGATCGCCCAACTCTCTACTCACCTTCCGACTCCTGCTCGTTAGACGATCCTCTCGACCTCGCTAACTCCAAAATTCATAAAGAGCGAGCTAATCACGCTTGCAAAATTTATAGCATGTGCATTTGCGCGAGAGACTCGGGATTGTGCCTAAGTGGGAAGGAAGGAGGTGGAAGGAAGTGCCCACGACTGCACGGCCAGGCCGCGGCGTGGGGGACGTAGCCACACTCCACACATCGATCTGGTCGTGTAATCGTTCAGGCCAATAGGACAGCGGGAGAAGTATGCGCGCGCAAGGGCGCCACAAAAGATATCAAGAAAGAAAGGATTACCATTACAATCACGCCCGCCAAAACAAGAATTAAAGCGCGAAAAAGTCAGAGCACAGATCCAGACGCTGCAAAGCGTGCGCAAGCAAGAAGCATCGTGCAGCAAAATTACGATGTACCCAAATTCCTAGCCTAAATCCTAATTACAAAAAGAAATACCGAGAGAAGAAAATTCCGAGAGCCTGCAGGGGCTCGACATCAGTTGAAAATTCAAAAAGATTTTCCCGCGCGACGATCACGCCAAAATTCCTATTTCCCACAGCAGAACAAGAAAGAAGCTATGGCAACAGTTATCTTTCGCACTCGCTAAGGCATGATCAACTACCAACCGCCGTGGGACCATGCCAGGCCCAATTCCAAAGACAAAAAAAAGCAAAAGCAAGGGCACCCATGCAATCCAACGGGCAATCCCGATTCAACCCCCGAAGTAGCATTGCGCAGAAAGTTGCGTGGTTGCAGAAAACAGTTTGTCACACCGGTGGGAGTTCCCCATCAGTATGGAGCCACCACCCTTCTGTTTTCGAACCCCAGTTCAGTTTCATGTCTGCCGCTATGGAGACGAGATGGATTGTGTCAGCCAGGGTTCGAATGCTATC